CCCATTGAGATGTATTTTGCTAATAGCAAAACAAAACCTCACCTGCATTGGTGCCAAGAACATGTACAATTAACATATGGGACAGTATTGTTTTTACAGATGTGTTGTACCTCATTCTGCAGCTGTATTACAAGTTTATACTTATTTGACAAAAAATTGAAATTGGATACATTTGATTTTCACACAGAAATATGATGAATTTGGTGGCAGAAGTATGGTGGAAGCAGGAATAAGTGTTGGTAAATGTACAAACTTCTGCATCCTGTGGAATAGAACCATTAATACCACACAATATAACACCACAACTTACAACCTTTTGTGCTACCAATACCATATTCTGATGCAGCTGGCTCTGACTTCAGCATAATGAGTAATAACACATGTCTCACACTATACCAAGTTGGTTTACACATTCCTTGAAGAAGAAGAGATTGACCAAATGGAGTAACCTTTACACCCATTCAACTTCAATCCCATCAAGCATATATGGGGTGCTCTTAGATGACACAACACACTTCATCAAGTGACACTAGAAACTAGAGATGATCTGAAAGTGTTAACTCAGGGTCTTATCAATGCTCTGATTTTAAGTATGCAATATCAATGCCAGTGCCCTTGCTGTTTGTGATGGCCATACTCCCTACTAAAATTAAATATAATGCACTGTAGAGATGTAAAACCACATTTATTAAATGTTCATTTATGAGATCAGGCTGGATAACCAAAATCATTTACACTTCAGATCACATAACTGATCAACAGATGCCTGATTTTCATAAAAATTAGATTGGGGGAGGGTAGGTGATTATTTTTATAGTTGTTATATTGCCTCATTGTGGCTATAGTATTACAAGTTTTGATTATCCTTAGGTTGTTTTTAGCACTATAGGTTGTTATCTGTACACTGATAAGCACTTTTCTGTGATTTTAATAATTACTTTTTTGACTGTATAATAAACCTGTTTTCAATTATCTAGGATTCAGAACTTGGGGAACTACGAAGTACAATAGAAGCACTAAGCAAGCAAAGTGCTGAAGCTGGTCTTACAAAGATGGCACTGCAGTCAATGCAAGCTGTTCAAAGAAGTATGAATGGTGAAAATTTAGTCCATTGTCAAAATTCTTATAACACTAAAGAGCATGGTGAGCTGTATTACACTAGCTGTAACACACACACACATTCTAACAAGTATGTGACAAAATAGTGTCAGATCAATTCAGTTATACAAATACTTCACTAACTAATAATGCCACCAAGATCTCATAGAAGAACAAATTGTTATTAATAATTATTACAATTAAACAATTTTTTTATACATGCTCACCTTATTGTTTTGTATTATAATATATTTTGAAACTTAGACCTGTTCAGTATAAATATCCATTATTGTATTATGTGTATTTGTTTGTTGTTTAGCTTACTCCTATGTATTTGCCATGTTTTTTAAAGTACTGTTGTTTTATTTTAGTGTAAAAGATAAAACCTCCAAGAACTGGATAATTAGAAGCTTAACCCTTCATAGAAATTATCTCATTTATTCAGTATTTTTGACAATCCATATGACCCCATCCACAGTCTTATGTATATTATGATTTCAGTATTGTTGTATGTGTCATTACATATCTCAAATCTTGTGCAGATTGCAGTTTTAGTATTGTTATACAATATTCCACATCTACAGTCTTATTTTGATCAAGGTGTTAAAAGTTTTATGCATCATTTCACATCTACAGTCTTGTGCTGATCAAGGATTCAGTATTGTTTTCTATTAGTATTATTTTATGTCAGGTGCTAATCAAATTTTCACTAGTGTTGTATTTAAATATTTCTGCAATTAAGTCTTATGAAAAAGGTTTTGATATTCTTATGTATTATTTGATATGTACAATCTTGAGCAAGCAAATCTAAGTGTCAAAAATAATTGTTTATTATTCTACATTTACATTCATGT